GTTCACACCACGTTGGAATTGTTTTGTTCCCATATTTATGTCTAACAACAACATATTTCACATTCAAAGGGAAAATATACCAGCAAAATGAGGGAGTAGCTATGGGATCACCTATCTCACCAATAATAGCTGACATATTCATGGATAATTGGGAAGAGAATGCCTTTAAACCATTCAGGTCATCAGTAAAATGATGGTGAAGATATGTAGATGACGCTCTAGTAACAGTGAAAAAAAAAACGAAATATTGAGAAACTCTTCTCACACATAAACAGCCATGTCGACTCAATAAAATTCATTATGGAAATAAAGAATGAAATTGGGGAACTGCCTATGTTAGAATGCAAAATACAAAAATTAACAGATGGTAAGTAGCATAAAATTGACGAAATATAGAAAAACTACACACTCTGGAAGATTCATTGATTATCACTCAGCACATCCACTCACGGTAAAACGAGGATTAATATAAGGTCTTGCAGATAGAATACGTAGACTTACGACAACACCAGAGGACCATAGTAAAGAAATAAACGTCCTGAGACCGAACACTTCGGTCCAGTCAATCGACAGGAAAATCAAAAATTCAATTCAATAATTAATATGACCCGTTGCACAAGAGGTGGCTCTCGTGGCCCAAGTGGTCTAGTGGATAACGCTTTGGTGTTTGAAACTATGGGTACTGGGTTTGAGCCTCGGTGGGAACATCATCACTCAGTGAGAAATGCAGGTACATCCACTGGCTGACGAGTCCCAAATAGGACGAAATGCACTTTATCCTGGATTCCACTGCTAGCCACCATCCACCGATTGTATACAAAATAAACGTCCTACTCAAAATGTTACTCGAAAACAACTACCCTAAAGAATTAATAAACGATAATGTAAAAAAGAAAAAAAAAGGGTAAAACCGGAGAATAACAAGATGGAAGAATGCAAAACAATAGTCACAATACCATATAAAAATGGTACATCACAGGCAATTTAAAGAAACCTCAAAAATATCGGCATTAGAACGACGTTTAAACCGACGAATCTAATCAAAAATAAAATAAATCCACTGAAAGTTCCCATAAAAATTATGGATAAAAACAATTTGACTTACAAAATATCTTGTGAGGACTGTCCGACTAAATATGTGGGTCGAAAGTCCAGATCACTCAAAATAAAAGTGCATGAACATAAACGCCTAACCAAAGGTCAACCAACAGGAACACAAGCCTACACGAATCTTAAAAAGAATTCATCGATAGCTGCACATGCAGCATGGAACAAAAACCACAATATCGATTGGAACAATGTGTTTATTCTAAAAATTAACAATAACAAATTGAAAGAAAGACTTATAATACAATCGATATTTACCAAAGTCACACCGGATACATGTAGCAAGGGTTACTCAGTACAACTATCAACAACTTGGAATATAATTCTGAATACAAATGACATGAATGAGCAAAAATATAATGAACTATATATGAGTACAAACCATAAATGTATGAACAAAACAATTCCAACGTGATGTGAATACGGGCAGTAATTTCGCTCGAAATATTACCAATAACAAAACATACCATTGTGCGTAAACTATTGAAATATAATTATACTTTACTTGATCTAATCCACAATGCTCAAACTTTTTACTGATATTAGTTGGGTTAGTTATAAGTAATATTACGTAATAAGTTCTTAATAAGACACTTATTTGAAAGAGTGATTAATGAACAAGGAAAATTCATTTCGATGAACTCGTCATCATGTTTCACAAATTGACGACGGTAATAACTTAAGAAATATCGTTTTTAACAACAATAATGTTTCAAAATAGGTCGAATCACTAGCATTGACAGATTACATGTCAGAGCCTTCAATTTCTATTTCTTTACGTTCCCAGTGGTACATAGGACTTCAAGGTAGAGCTTTGAATTTTCGGTGGCAGTGATTCCATTTTTACGGGGTGGGATTGCTAGTCTCATGCCATACCTTACTTCTTACAGACCTTGCTACTGGCTTCACGAGTTTTAGGAATGCAGAAACCAGAGACACAATCTCATTTCTGGACGGCTGACTAATAAAGAAGACTTAACCGGACTCTGAAGAGATCAGTAGATCGAAAGCTTACGTAGAGCGGCCGACTGACAAACCTTCACAGTTGAGTATCAACCCATCAATCGCAAACGGAACCTGATCATATCTCTTGCAGCTAGAATCCATAGAATAGGTAGCCCCGAATCAGTAAAGGAAGAGACCACTCCGTCGAGCAAGACGTTACTTGACAATGACTACCCACCACGCCACGCTTTATAGATAAAAAGCCGAAAATCAAAAAGCAACACTCCATCTCTGCCGAAGAAGATACCGTGTATGAATGTGGCTGTCAATGGTAGCCTTCTGGTCTACATCCTAATGAGCAGAATATCTAACGCCCTGGAAAGAACATTCCCTGCTGCTACATTACGATTAGTTTTCTCAAGCCACCCATTGTTCTTCAAGAACTCCAAAAATAAACTATCGTATCGGATGACTTCTGTAGGTTTCTACCAATCTACTTGGTCATGTAGAGCGAGCGAGATATGTGGGTTATTCGATGCGTGTCTTACCTAAAAGAGTCAGAGAACATTATCCCGCTTGCCTACAAAAAGGTGAGAGTCAATCAATGAAGAGTGCTATAATTGAACATATAATCAATACCGGTCACTTAATATGCACGGAAAATTCATTCAAAGTCAAGGCCTTAGCGGTCAGGATAGAAAAGCCTGAATTATGTACACAGAAGAAAGTTCTCCACCCGCTCCCTCTACCTTGGGTATAATTCCAAGTTACACTACTTTTTCAATAATGTTCTGTTGTTTTTTTTGCATTTTGTATGGCATCTAAGTGACATCTTCTTCATAGCCAACTCTTTATTTAAAAGTCAATTTGAACGGAGAATATTCTTTTCAAAAATTTCTCTTCAGGTTCTTACAATTATAAATAAAATAAAATATTTATTTTCGTTACAATTATGCCCAGTTAGTCATGCGGTGGATACATTTTCAACGTAGAATAACAACAGATCAGCAGTTATGGGGTGTCAAAATAAATAGTCGTATTTGTGTGACAAATATCGTGCTGCAGAGCATATAGGCTTTCCATTTGTCAGTAGGCAGCGACACCAAATGTAATGACAGAAGACAAGGGTCAGGTAACAGATCATTTATTGAGAAAATCAACAGATATTTATAGATTTTTATATACATCATTATTCGTTATTATTAGTATTATTTATTGATTACAAAGGAGAAAAACGATGTCCCTGCAGCTCCATCTTAGAACATCTGATAGAATCCGGACACCAAGCTACGCCCTAAAACAAACTTCAAACTTGTCTACAAAATACGAAGCAGTCCTCCTAAAAGTGTACGAGTCAAACTTCTTCAAACTGCAGAAGCAATGGCAGTTCACTTGCCAAGTTATCACCTTTGCACACAGAAGAAGTTCGTTCAATCGCTACACTTGCAATGAGCGTAATCTATCTTAATACACAACATGTAAATTCTATTTCCTTCTTTATTTATCTTCATTGCTATTATTTTGTCTTTTCAATTGTAATATTTTACATTCTCAGCTTTCCTGTCCTCTACACTCACCTGATTCAATTTCTACACTTCATTACCACTGTTACTGACTTGACCAACGATCAATTTCTAGTTTTAGTCCTAATTTAGATGGAATTATTCTCTGTTTCACTTCTACTTAGTCTCTACCTGTAATTACCTCTGTTACTACTCTGACCTAAGTTGAAACATTTTAGTCAATTATATTACGTCATCTAACTTTTTAACTCAATCTTTCTTTAGTTGATGTCCAATTAACCTTGTTACTATATTAGATCATTCTTTTATTACCTGACCAATTATCAAAACTTGACAAACCTCACCACACACACACACACACAAATAATTGTGTATAAATGCGATTGTACAGCTATGTGAATAAATTCACCGCCAAAAAGAGTCCCTTCGGTGAACGTCTTCTCTTTTTCATATGACTCAATGGGGATTTTCAAGTTATTATTAGCAGAGAAGCAACGTCTTCTGATTGGCTGTTTTCTCGCTGAAATTTATTCTCTCATCTCTTTGTGGCCGTTTCTTTGATGGTCAGTCCATATCTGTGAATCTTATCCACTCATGCTAAGTATGCTGTGATTATGGTTGTTGAGTTCCTGAAGGTTAAGCTTTATTTTTGTTTTATCTCGTGACCTCGATTCAGGACGACAACAGTGACACAAATTGTTGCATACAATTTTGCCTTGCAGACAGCCCTCATCTCACACGTTTACTGAAAACCATAAGTAATTCAACCAAGGGCTTTTGGGAAAGACCGCAAAACAGGATAAGACCGATAAACGAGTCACTAGACAAGCTCACCTTATAAATTATTTAAATTAATCCCAGCATTGTTCATCAAATTCCTGCTGAAGAAGCTGTGGTTTACACAGTGAAACACGTTCAGAAAACAGATCTTGTTTTGATTTTCTTAACACTCTGGGATTAATTTAAATAATTTATAATGAATCAATCTGACTCGGCGCTCAAATTATTCCAGGAAGTATTCTTAACATCTAAGGTCTGGAAAGTTATAAGCTCACCTTAAGTCACCTCGGTGAATACACACATGTACAGAAACTGGTCTAACTTAGAAACTAATGCTCCTCATTATAACTGAGACATATTTTTTTAAGTCATGTGTCAGAGAACGATACCCTGCTTTAATGTGATTTGTTCATTCATTTTTCTTATAAATAAATGTCATTTTTGTGTAAAATCACTCAATATATTAAATATTCCCATAGTAAAATTTAGAACAACACATTTAAGCGAACAATATTGTTTTCAATTAGACCTCATCAGGCTTAACTCTAGCATATATAAGTTTACAAATAAAAATTCAAATATAAACCAATCATGGTGTTTTGTCTATAGGATAATACGATGGTGAATATAAATTGTGCAATTAATCATAATAGTAGTAATGATAATATTAATAATAATAATGGTCTTATCAATAATAAGGATGAAAAATGAGGCAATCTGTGATAACACGAATAATGAAAAAACAGCATGATTAAACAAACAATTGTTCAGATGGAAGTAGTCGATAAAGGCTAGTAAAAACAAATGAACCGATTACGTAATGTTAGATTGTAAGGGAAGGAAATGAAACACGTTTATAATGAAGATAAGATAAGATTAAGGGATGATAAGAGAGGGAGGGGTTGAAAATTTAAACAAGGGGTGGTGTAGAAGTCTTTAGTTGGTTATGTCTTATTAGGCCACAGGAGGGATAATGGCTGCACGAACTTCTTTTGAATGCATAGTTTAGGTTTAATAGTTCGAATGCCTATCGCGTCAGCTGTGTGCAGTAGACGAATACGAAGTCTATTAGAAAGATTCGGTGGGATACGATGAATTACTTTGAAGGCTTTCGTTTTATCGACTACATGACCACTATCAATTAAATGTGACAGAATTGAGCTACGGATTGTTTTTGTCTATCCTTTGCCAAATCACGATGAGAGATGTTCACTAACACGTTGTCAAAGCTGTCTAGTAGTACTGTGCCAAACATAACTGTCACCGCAGGTGCAGTTGAATTGATAAATGCACATAGATGTGACAAAACTATCTAACTTATCCTTCGTTTGCGTCCCAATCATTCGTCGGCTAGAGAATGACAAACATAGGTGTGCTGCGTAAAATGTTCTACGTATACGCCTTGAAAGTCTTTGGAATAGAATCTCACTAGATAAGTCACCATTAAATTGTAACTTAATAAATAGAGGTTTCTTATGTGCAGTCAGAGTCACAGGTTTTTTCTCTGATGTTCTCATATGTTTCTTTATAAAAATACTCGGATAACCCATCTCCGTCAAGGAATCGTGGATATATTCAAATTCCTTTTGTAAGAGGTCCTCCGTACATGTCTTCCTTGCTCTGCTCGCGAGACATTTTACAAGATTCCTTTTATATTTAATGCGCACGTAACTAAGAAAGTGTGTGTATTGCCCTGTGAATGTGCTTTTTCTGTACACACTTCTCTCAAGTGACCCATCTTCTCTCCTGCTTAGCAAGACATCCTGAACTAGGCTGACGAAACAGCTGTCCAGTACTCCCTGCAGGTTTTTCAGTGATTCTCTAACTGATGTCAGCTCATGATGAAATCCTCTATAAAATCACTCATTTTTATGACTAGTCAGCTCTAGGTCACTCGTACATTCATATCTCTTGCGAAGCTATTGTTTAACTTTGCCCTGTCCATTACTCCTCAGTGGTTTCCCAATGATTCTTTAAATGATGTCCACTCATGATCAAAGCCAAAAAAACCATAACACACCCACACACACACATAAATTTATTTAATGATTTATATTTGATTGTAATCAAAAGCCACACAAATGACATTATCACCATTATAATCATCATCACCATAATCATAGTGAATAATAATCAGACAACACACAGGGATACTATAGCTTCACACACACACATTTCACTGCTGCCAGTGTGTGCATGCGTGTGCGCGCAAGAAGTCTGGCTAAATATGTATCACAGAAGCACAATCAATCAATCACTGATGAATTTTAATTTAATCTAAATCAATCACAGAGGTATAAGAGCGGTGGGTCATTATGATGCAATATTTTCGACAAAAAAGAAGAAGGGGAGAAAGAAACAGAAAAATATGTTTAAATGTATCTATGCATGTATGTATGTATGAAAAAAAAATCTGATCATGAAAATAGAACCAACAGCAACAACGAAACCAACGATAGCACCAACAACGGCAAGAACGTAAAAGATCAATTGTAGATGGGTGTGAAAGATGTGAAGTCCTCAACCTACCTCTTTTTTGTTGTTGTTGGTGTTGATGATAATGAATGGATCAGAATGAATCAATCAATATATGGATTATTTATTCCCTTGGGAAATGTCTCAATAACTCAAGATTACCACATCACAACGAGACAATGGATAAAGGATGTAGAAGAAGCTATAGAGTACTGTGTTAGTGTAATTCACGCACACACTCACACACACACATGCACACAGAGAAACAAGCACAAACACAAATATACACATATACCTAAAAGCAATTGAAAAGTGTCATTGAATGAGACCTCAGAAACAATAATTGATCTTTTTCATATAGATCTATACAATAGTTTGTATATATTTGATCATATTACCACCTAAGCGTATCAAATGCACAGAACAATGAAATTAATCAAGATAGAAAGTCAACACACACACACACACACAACAGAAACACAAGACAACACAGGGGAAATCTGAAAGCTTAAAGAAATAGAAATCAAAGAATACTGCTGCAATATATCAATGACAATGTTGATGTTGACGATGATGATGTCAGTGATGAGAATGACGATAATAAAAATTAGCTTATCTGAAGAAAATCTTAAAAAACATGAAAATATTTTGTTTACTAATAATGATATCGATGACAGTAATAATAATAATTTTCATAACAGTAATCTTTCATAATTATTGAAGGTAGACAGATGGATGCACAGATCAGGGGATTTCGAAGGGGAGAACGTGAGCGATGGAGAGAGAGATGGAGATATGAGGTGGTAACATGAAATATACCAGAGACAAACGCACATCACACACACACAAAGACAAAACGCAAGAGACATTAAAAAATGAATGAAAGAATAAATAAATCGATAAATAAATAAAGGAGTCAATCGGTCAGTCAATCAGTTAATCAATTACGGCTTCGTCTCGTATTCCTCAATAGCATAGAAAGGGACTATCTCTCTCAATCTTAATGGGATTGAATTGGTGGAGGTATCGGCGGAGCAGGTACAGTTGATTGTATGCTATTGTCTTGTTCTTTATAAGGGGTAAGCGCATCACCTTGATATGAATCAGTTGGTTCATCATCGAAATCATCTTTTGGATTACGCTGAAATGAGAACAATATATATGCATAAAATATTTGAAGTAAGTAAGAAATCGCAATTGTATCGGCTGTTCTATTAAGACAAGTATGTCGGTGTTGAAGGTCGGGCAGTGATGATGAAGATAATATTGAAAAGACTTTTGAGAATCTTCACTTTATAGTGTATGAAAGATGGCAGTCTATAGCCTTTTAATGCTAGTTAGGTGCAGAACAATGATGACTCTTTCTTTGGACTCCTACTTTTTAACTGACTACCCTTACCACGGGGAAAGTCATCGCATAGTTTTTTTTATTCCTTCACGTTTTAAGTGGAACATAGAGCTTCAAGCCTCTAGCTTGAAGTTTCTGCAGCAGTGGTGATTATCTTTATAGGATGAGGTTGCAGGCCTCTTACCCAACCTTCCCTCTTTACCAGTCTTATTACCCGCTTAACGAGGTAGAGGAGTGCATGGAGTGGCCAGGAATCGAACCCTGGACCACCCAATGACTCGCCATGTTTGTGTCAACGCATTACTGTGAACTTGTGAACCATAGGAGAACTATTTTTTTTATATTCGTGGACTATTCAAAATAAACTATACTGGCTGAAATCCTGAATTATTATGGACAGCAGAATGGTTAATCACAATTCCTGAAGGTCTTGATTGGAATCGCAGGTGCAGTCATAACTACGTGCTGCTGAAGAGTCCCAAAATAGGAAGAAACAGCCTTCCAGTACTTCGTAACGGTCTTCAGAAGTTTTCTAGCTGATGTCAGTTTGTCCTCTGACCTGAAATCAATCGAATCCATGCAAAGTGACACTTAGAAATTGATCTAATGCTCACTAGTGACTGATTACAGGGAGAAATTGCTTGGAGTTTTTGGTGAGAAGTCTTGACCAACAGGGTCATCTAAATCAGATCTTATAATACTTAGAATTACTCGGTGTTGACATATATATATATATGTAGCAAATTGGAGGACTTTAGAACTCATGAACTTATCAGTGGATTCCGTCCTAGTGGCTAAATGGCCAACCGGATCTGGAGATTCTGGGTCCGATCTCCAGGTTGGGTCATGAGTGTATACTGATGAAAAGTTTCAGCCATGGGGATGGAGAAGAAGTGGTTGTTGAGTACTTTCTGGCTTTCAAAAGCTCTCTAAATGAAATCAGTTTGTGCTGCAACTTGAAATCAAATTCACTAACTGATTATATTACTGATGATTACAGAAAGTTCTTAAACACATTAATTGTTGGATTGCATCTCGACATCTGAATTGAATGGTATGCAAAATTTGTATTCTATTTACCAACTTAAAACAATAAAATTACAAGGTGAGACGGAGATCAACATTTTTACAAGAAAAAAATCAAGTGAAGTCTTATAGGGTAGTGGTTCCTGAATAACACATCCATTTTTATTGTTTTCGACAGTATATTTGATCTACTTAAATAAAATTAAGTAGACTAAATAAACATGTAAAAGTTTCGTCGATTGAAGTTACCCGCCCAAGATATATGCTGAGATGCTACAAAATACCAGAGTTAAGGAAAAGTAGCACAGATCTTCAATACTCTGTAATCAGTACGCTTAAAACAAGTAAAAGGACCTGAGTCTTCAACTTTATCGTCAAATCAGTGCGTCTGTGTGGTTCAGAGACTTGGTGTGCGAGTCAATAAAAGTATTCTTCGATTGGACGCTAGTTAGTTACTTGTGTAACGTATGTCTAGTTCTCCTATCTTTGATGTACATTGAATTCTATCAGTCAGTCAAGTATGCGATGTGACCACCATGCCATTAGGTAGTTCTCCATCATGGTGCACTGTGAACTGTTGATATTAGATGGTTGGAGGCAATCGGCCACAGGAAAACCTGGACAGTGCATCGTGATGGCAAGCCACCTAGTGGCATGATGGTCACATTGCAAACTTGTCTAACAGAATTCAGTCTGCACCAAAGATAGAAGGACTAGACACAATACACTAGCTACTAATTAATGTCCAGTTAAATAAAAATATCCAATCCAGTCAGTCCTACAGGTGGTCAATAGCAAGCCAAAATAGCTCAGTCTCTTCCGGACTGCAGCACTCATTGGGTGACGGGTTCGAATCTCAAGGGTGACATGATTTCCTCAAAGGCGGTTGCAGATACGCCTGCCTTGCTGAATACTGATGAATGCCAACTAGCACGAAACCTAGGTGGAGTCCAAGGCTTCCTGTGGCCGATTGTCTCCAACCACTTAATATATCACTAAAAGTATCTCCAACCGGCTTCAGACTCTCATCACACCCATTGCTATCTCTAGCGCATTTCTGAAGATCAGAATGGGTAAGAGGCAGAGAACTCTGATAACAAGCCGACTAACGCTCTATCACCGAATAAATACGCGGGTTACTCCACATTCAAGACAGACAGACAGCCAGACAGACCCTACAGTATAACGCTAATGGGAGAAGATGAGTTGGACGTGTGAGCAATTGTGGAGCAAGCTAAAGAGAACTACAAAGAACAGAGTGAAACACGGGATGACCTACTAAAGCTCTATATCCCACTTGAAACCAATAAGATTAGCTAATAATAGTAATACAGAAAGAATTTTTAAAGGAATAAAGCCTCTATTTTTAGTCGACTTACTTGTTGTGTATACTTTTGATAACTTGGATGAAAATTATGAATAGCATCATTCAGCATATCTTTAGGATTGAATGTATCCTTTAAACTGCGCAGAGAATCAGATGATGGTAAAAATCCACCTTTGAAAAGGAAAAAAGAAAGAAAGAGAATAAACAACGACCAAGGAGGAAGAGAAAAATGAAGTTTGTAACAACAACAAGAACAAAAAGTAAATAATGACCTTTGACCTTCATTGACCAGTGCTTTCAAGTAGGAATTCATCAACACTGACATTTTCATCAGATAGAATCATGAAAATATTATATTAATATAATTGTTATTACCTTCAACAGAAAACTTAGCGAGGCACTTGGAGTAAACACAGGAATCAAACAAGGGTGCTGGCTTGTTATCACCAATGATATTCCTAATTTTGGTGCACTGACTGGATTATGCGTCAGACAGTGAGTGGGAAACGAGAAGACAGGGATATCCTGGACCGACCTATGTGAAGAACCTAGAAGAACTGGATTTCGCGCTTGGATGATTTATGTTTGATGTCACTGTCACAAAATCGAAGACTTACAAGCGAAAACCGACAAACTGGTCGAAGAAGCAGCCAGCGAAGACAGGACTCCAGGTGAACATAGACAACACGGAGGTCATGAAAATAACCAACCAACAACAACAAAAACAATCAGCAGCATCCAGTGCCAATCGCCATTAACGGGAGGGATTTGAAAGAGGTTACCTCATTCACTCATCTAGGGAGCATTGTCTCAACTACAGGAGGAACGGACGAGGATGTCAAATCGAGCGAGAATCGGGAATGCGAGAAACACATTCACTCATCAACCTGAAACCAATCTAGAAATCTTCGTCAATCAGCATCAACAACAAAATTCGGCCGGATTTTCAATACAAACGTCAAGTCAGTCAGTTCTTCTATACGGATCAGAAACTTAGCGGGCGGGTCACAAAGAATATTTCCAACAGCCTGTGGCAGACCTTTATCAACCAACAACTGTCTTCGCTCTATACTGAAGATCAGATGGCCGGGCTGGAAAGGATCACCAACAAGAAACTATGGGAACAAACAAAACAAGAACCAATCGCCAACCAACAAATATGCAGGAGGAAGTGGAGATAGATTGGACACTGACTGAAGAGGCTGCTGGGTGACATCGCGCGCGCGTCAGGCCATTGCTCGAGTGGGACCAGGCCGAAAGGGAAGCGGCGAGTGGGACGTCAGTGCAAACGTGATATAGAGGAGATGGTGTGAAGAGGAGTTGAAACAGTATGGACTAACATGGATGGATTCAGGTGAAAAGTACAACAGAAGGAAGGCAGAAGCAAGTGGAGACGTGCAGTTGAAGCCCTATGTTTATTTTTCATTTTCGATTACAGCTTGATTCCACACCGTATTTTTGGGACAAGTGTGGAATTTTCAGCGTGGATATCGGTAGCCCAAAATTCGCAGGCCGACCATAGATATCAGGTGTGCGTCGGCGTGGGCTTGAACCCCGGACCATGTGCATGGTCGGCGAGAGTCCTAACCACTGTGCCACCGACGCACACTAAGAACCCAAGGGAACAATCATAATAATTGTTATTCCCTTGCGTTCTGAGTGGGACATAGGGCTTCAACAACACATATTGTTTTCGCTCTGTTTTCTGCCGTCTTCATCAGCTAGGTCCGCGATTGACCAAACTCTCTCATGTCTTCCTCACATAATCTACTCCATATCGTTCTTTCACCGACGACCCACCTGTCACTTCCTGTTTGTATTCCAATAAAGAGAGCCTGGCGTGCGACGTCATTCGGTGGCCTCCTCAATGTATGCCCGATCCATCTAAATTTTCTCCTACATATTTGTTGAGCGTTCGGCTCTTGGTTGATTTGTTCCTAGCCAACGTTTCTTGTTGCTTATTCTATCTGATCATTTAATCTTCAGCATGGAGCCAGCAAAGGCAGTTGTTGATAAAAGTCTGCGGTGTATTGTTGGAAATCCTTTTCGTGACTTACGCACAGTGCAAGTTTCTGACCCATACACAAGCAGTGATCGACTTGACATTGGTATTGAAAATGTGAATCTTGTTCCTTATACTGGCTGAGTGAAGCAGAAGACTTTCAAACTGGTTTCAGGTTGATGAGGGCGTATCTTGCCTTTCCGATTCTGACTGGCTGGCTGGCTGGCTCTGACATCTTCATCCGTTCCGTTCCGCCTATAGTTGAAACGATACTTCCTGGTCAGATAAGTGAAGGAGGCAAACTCTGATAAACCTCTCCCCTTGATGGTGATTGATTCTGGTTGTTGTCACTGTTGATTGATTGGTCGGCTATCTTCATCACTTCCACCTTTTCTATGCTCACTTGGAATCCTGTTTTCGCTGCCTCTTCAACCAGTTTGTTGCCTTTCGCTTGCAAGTTTTCATGTTTGTGTGACATTAGACATATATCATCCACACACGTGAAATCCAGACCTTCTAGAATGTTCTTATCGGTCGTCCAGCGTATTCCTGACTCCTCGCCCCCGGCAATCTGACGCATAATCCAGTCAGTTCACCGAAAATAAGACTATCATCGTGAGTGATAACAGGCAGCCAGATTGGCTTACTCCTGTACGCACTTCAAAATCCTCTCTGAGTTTTCCGTTGTGGATCACTTCACATGTAGCATTATCATAAACCTATTGAATGAGGTTTACAAAGACTAGAGGTACGCCGTAGTGTTGAAGTAGTTTCCACATAACTTCTTGGTTTACCCTGCCTGTCGAAGGCCTTTTCGAAATCGATGAAGCTAACGTACAGCTTTGACTGCCATTCTATGCTTTGTTTTGCGATGACAATGCGTAGAGTTGAAATTTGATCAGAACGTGATTCGCCTTTCTTAAATATAGCTTGTTCCGGCACGTTGGCGGAGATCTGTATTCAATGCATCCTTTATTCTCTCCAGGATAATGCGATCTACTATTTTACTTGGCGAGAACAAGAGCATGATTCCACACCAGTTCTTGCACAGGCCTAAGTCGTCCTTCTTTGACAGCTTGACGAGGTAGCCAGCCTTTCTCCCAATCGGTAGGCACCTTCCCTTCCCTCCTTCCAAACTTTTGTACTAGGGGAATGAAAATAAGCAGCATATACATATATGTATAAAGTTTTAGACATTTATTATCATTATCGTGATTATTACTACCGTTAAGCAGTTAACTCACGTTTCTTTGTTTCATGAAGCACATCACCACCGTTACCTCCGCCTAGACTATCATATCCGCCGAATGTTGTCGGTCCTGTACCAATACCATCAGAATATAATTGTGAGGGGAATGCAAATCGCAAAGCGACTGCAGCCGCAAACATTTCTAAACAAATCAAGAAATTTTGTATTCCAGCTGCAACTGTACCAGCATTTGTATTCGGTAAAGCTGGAAGTACCTCAGCCTTTTCCAGGATAGCTAATACCACACCTGTAATAACAATAATACCAATAATAAATAGTAGTAACTCAAAGAGACGATAAAAAAAGAAATTGAAGAGAGAGATTTCGCAGGTATTGATTTTTGTAGGGATTCTATTTGATTGGTTGGAGGGTTTCATCATGAGCTGACACATCAGTTAGAGAACCATTGGAAGACAAGTACTCGAGTACTGGACAGCAAGCTGTTTCGTCAGCCTAGTTTGGGGTTAACTCTTCAGCAGTACGCACCCGTTGCCAGGTTTCGAACCCAGGACCTCCTGTTTACAAGACGAGCCAGCTCGTAGACCATTAAGCCACGGGGACCCGATCCACTCGCCAGTCGTCGAATTCTAACTTCTGCCAACTCATGCACGAAATAGCGCGACCACTTCGCAATGTCTTTTTCAACTCGTCATCTGGATGTACCTGGATTCCCCAGTGAGTGATGGTGTTCCCCCCCCCCACAGAGTCTCTAACCCAGTGTCCATAGTTTCAAACGCCAAACGTTATTCACTGGACCACTTGGGCAACGAAAGCTGGCCACCTCTTGTGCAACGAGTAACCACGGAATGCAGGTACATCCAACTGTGACGAGTCCCAAACACGAAGAAATGAGCTTTATCCTAGATTCCATTGCTAGACACTATCCACCAAATTAAACACTCTAATTACATGCCCAGACATCATCGAAGCATCTTCACAAGAAGTTGGCGTGTCAACCTGAGACCGAGCACTTCGATTCAATCAATCGATCGATGGGAAAATGTAAAATTCAGTTAAATTTTTAAAAGGAATTAGGATATACACCTTAAGATATGATGAACTACAAAATTTGTTGATTGTGTATCTCTGTCGACATTCAGGTCATTCATGGCAACGGGACGAAAACCTGCAGAACAGGCGATGAGAAAACAAAAATTACAAAAAAGTGTCTACTTCAACTAACCTTGCCAAAAACACAAAAATACAACAGACTTCACTACAGCAAATTTAATCGCTGGATCGAATGGTTGTAGGATGCTTCGTGTAGCCAAATAGAATAACACTAAAGCGTATAGGGCGACAAATGCAGATGCATTGTATACTACTGTTACATATAAATAACCATTTGTAGCACTGAAAGGTAAATAATAATAATAACTTTTTTTAATCAAGATGCAAAACAAAAAATTAAAGTAATTTATTTAAAGAAAATGACCCTACATTTTTTTCTAGAATGATGAATTTTATGAAATCTTGGGCAAGCGCATTTCAGTATTGACCTATGTGTGTGTATTATTATTGTTCCTTTGAGTTCCTAGTGGAACATAGGGCTTCAACTGCACGTCTCCACTTGCCACTTCTGTCTTCCTTCTGCTGTACTTTTCACCTGAATCCATGTTAGTCCATACTGTTTCAACTCCTCTTCACACCATCTCCTCTATATCACCTTTGCACTGACGTCCCACTCGCCGCTTCCCTTTCGGCCTGGTCCCACTCGAGCAATGGCCTGACGCGCGCGCGATGTCACCCAGCAGCCTCTTCAGTCAGTGTCCAATCCATCTCCACTTCCTCCTGCATATTTGTCGGTTGGCGATTGGTTCTTGTTTTGTTTGTTCCCATAGTTTCTTGTTGGTGATTCTTTCCGGCCGTATGTGTGTGCGTGTATAGTACTTAAATACGCAAAAAATAATTCATGCCAGATGTCAAATACCAACGACTGATTTATTCGATTTTCCACGCACACAAAAGAACTTGGAGGATCTGGATTTTGCCGATGATATATATGTCTGATTTATCACAAACTGGAAAATATGGAAGTGAAAAGCAACAAGTTGGCGATAGAAGAAGCATCAAAGATAGAAAGGACTTCAGGTGAACATAGAGAAACCACAGAAGATGATGAAGATTCTTGGCCAACAGTGACATAAACAACAACAAACAACACTCAGAATAAATGAGAGGAATCTGACAGAAGCAGCCTCCTTCACCTGCTCTGTAATGCAGTCAAAAGTCAGCAGATATCCTAGCCATGTTAACTCCGACTATATATACAAATTTACACATGCTCATGGGAGCAATTACATCTGGAGGACAGGAAGAAGGATATACTTGCGATTTTCTGGACATGTATCTAAAAGCTTATGTCTAAAGGTAGAAAGTGCTTTCAGCAATGCCATTACTAGGCATCTCCTTGACACGGATCATGAAGTGAACATCACAAGATCGTTCAAAATTATCAATAGGCAAAAGAGTTCATTTCTCCTCATGTTTGACGAAGCAATCTCCCTCAAACTCTTGAAACCTGATTTATGCATTCAGAAAAGGATGGTTATCAGTCTTTCTTTGGTCACGTGATAACTAGATATTTACATCCCCCCCCCTTCATTCAATGATGTAACACCAAAAAATCCCATTGTGTATGATTATTATTATTATTGTTTGGGATTAAGTGATTATTACTATTATTACTACCACTGTATGCATACAAAATTGATTTTTTGTTTAAAAATGAACACTCTATGGGTATGTTAAAACTGTTTCTGTACACAAAATTAATTATGTCTCTGAGCTGTAAACACCTGATGAGAAGCCAAAGAAATAAACAGTGATGGTATCACTTAGTTCTGCACAAATTGTTGATCTTGCTTTATTCAAAAGAGCTGTATTTGTGCTAGGAAGATAGATGAACTGAAGAAATTAGCTTAAATTAAAATATCGTGCAAAAAATCATGCTCAACGTCCACGTGATTATTCATGTTCAACTCAGAAAACTTCACGGTTGCAGATATGCCTTGCCGACTGGTCAGTACCAACTAGCACGAAACCTAGGTCATGTCTAAGGCTTCCTGTGGCCAACTGCTTTCAACCATCTGATATCAGGAATTTACAGTACGCTGTGATGGCGAGCTACCAAGTGGCATGATGGCCACATTGCAAACTTGACTGATGGAACTCAGTCTGCACCAAACAAGGGACTAGACACACTCATTACACTATTTACTGACTATTGTCTTATCGAAAAACTCAGGAAAATCTTTAACAAAAATAATCCACTTATATATGAAGTAATTTATCCATTTTTTTAGTTTTTGGATTCACTTGATAAGAAAGACAAAAGATGGATAGGTAGGATGGGTAATTACCTGAAAATTCCGTGTTTATAAACTCCAATAGCTTGTAAAATAATTGTCACAATCGATGTTAACGGTTTAATGATACAAAATTGTAGAGTTGCCTGAAAAGAAAAACGAAATAAATGCATGAATAAATAATTTAAAATCAACTGAATTTTAGATTTTCCCGTCGATTGATTGGACCAAAGTGCTCCATCTCAGGTGATCCGTTGCACAAAAGGTGGCTCTCGTGGCCCAAGTGGTCTAGTGGATAACGCTTTGGCTGGTGTTTGAAACTATGGGAACTGGGTTCGAGCCTCGGTGGTGGGAACATCATCACTCACTGAGAAATGCAGGTACATCCACATGACGGGTCCCAAATAGGACGAAGTGCGTTTTATCCTGGATCCCACTGCTAGTTACTATCCACCATTTAAATTTAAAACCAACTTTAAAAAGTGTAGAAGAGCTGTATGATATACTCTCAGGAATTATGAATACAGAAAGAATGAGTATATATTTTCAAGCAAGAGAATACGAACGCATTTTATTATTTCGTGGATTCTCTCTCTTCAACTGCATACATCCTAAACAACAAAACCAACTAAAATTTAATTGGTAGATGTTGACTAGCAGTAGAATCCAGGACAAAGCGCATTTCATCCTATTTAGGACTCGTCATCTGGATATACCTGCATTCCGCAGTGAGTGATGATGTTCCCCCACCGAGGCTCCAACCCAGTCCCAAAATAGGACGAAATACGCTTTATCCTGGATTGCACTACTAGTCACCATCCACCAATTAAATTCTAATTACATGCCCAGATATCGTTGAAGCATCTTCACAAGGAGGAGCCGACATGTCAACCTGAGACTGAGCCCTTCAGTCCAATCAATCGACGGTAAAAGTTAAAAAACCAACTATATGTTACAATATGGTGACTGAACATACTTTTACAAGGATTTCAAGTTATAGACAGAGAGCATAGGCAACATAATTTCAAAGATTATGTAAGTAGACAATCATTTAGTGTTAAAAGAGTAACTATTTGTGTAATAATTAGACAAAGGGGTGGAGTTCAGATTTCTCTTAGAAACAACGATGTACTACAGACAAAGAGACAAAGAGAAAACACAGCATCACTGAACGCACACCAAAGAACCTGAGGTTAAAGGGTCCACAAGCATTAAACACTGCGATTGCACGCCATCAACAAGACACTGACTGTGTTGCGGACAACCTGAACACGTTCAAAATAATCAACAGACAAACGAAGCCTAGCCTGCTTCGTTTTGCTGAAGCCATCTCAATTAAACGACTAAAACCAAATCGATGTACGCAGAAAGAGACAGTGGTGAATCTTGCACTGCCTTGGTTATAACAAACCGCAGCAATTTCACTACGTCATTTTCTATCCTGTTTAGAAAACTTGAATTTTTCGGCTAAACATGGCTCACCCTACACCCTTTTTTGTCTATTTTATAAAAACGTGCTTTTCTGTGGTTACGTAACCCACTACTGTCAATACTCTTTCTGATTCAACTTTATTTCTACCTATAAAACATTTGTTGAACTCTTTTTTGTTTTGTTTCCAAGCTTAGTCATGCAATTCTTCTATAAATAGTCGGTCCTTTTCAATCTTAATTGCTCAATAACTTACATTATTTCTGACTAATGTTACCCTCAGTTCCAATCAATAACTCACTATCATCGTAAAAAAGTATGTTCACTTCTTTAATTTAATTCATAATTTTGGTATTTTTTCAGGTTATATGCAGGCAGTTGAGAAGAATCCATGAAATAATAAAAATCAAAAAAATGAGCTCAGATTATCTCTGTACACATTTACCGTTCTTACTTTATTCAAATTTAGAACAAAAGACTTTGATGTAACCTATGCATTCAGAAAGAGAGAGTGTGACTGATCTGTCACTCACCAGTCGGTAAGACATATCTGTGTCTGCCTTCAAGAAACTCACGTCCCTTCTGAGATTTGAAACCGCGTCATTCAGTACCACCTGCAGTCAGCGAGAGACGTTATCAGTGAACTATTCGGGTTCACGATTGACCTCCCGAATAGCTCAGCGGTAACATCTCTGACTGTAGCACTGGGGGACGCGGATTCGAATCCAAGCAAGGACATGAGTCCCTTCAAGGCGGTTGCAGATACGCCTTGCTGACTGGTAAGTGCCAACCAGCACGAAACCTAGTTGGTCGAAGGCTTCCTCTAGCCAATTGCCTCCGACCATCTAACCTGTTTTCTTCACACACACACACATGCAGCTGCAGCTGTTTTAAGCAAATCACAATTGTTTCTACTGCTTAGAGTATCCCGTATTTGGAGGCCTCTTGGTGATTGATTTGATATCCGATAGAAATCTTCTAGCATGAAACTCAATGAAGAGCCCATTGACCTCCCCCCATACACTTGTCTGTAAAGTTTGCTGTAGTTACAGGAACTTAATTTTCCGTGCTTAGGCACGTCTATCAGTTTCTCTAAATATAGATGTGCGATGTTATAACATCAGAAGGCAAGACAAGGAAATGTTCAAATACACTAATTTTTTTTTTGGTTACAGCTTGATTACACACCGTATTTTTGGTACAAGTGTGGAATTTTCAGCGTGGATATCAGTAGCCCAAAATTTGCAGGCCAGCCATAGATATCAGGTGTGCGTCGCCGTGAGGTCGAACCCCGGACCATAGGCATGGTCGGCGAGAGTCCTAACCACTGTGCCACCGACGCACAGTATTCGGTTGCTGATAAAGTACTGAACTGTGGGAATATGTGAGAATAATACTCCCTGTGAAACACATTGTCTTATCATACCACCACAGTGTGTGCTACTGATAAGATTTATCGGTAGTACAGTCATTGGCACTAAAATATCAACTAGTAGGGGGATACTTTTGATGTCAAAGAAAGCAGATGATTCACTCTTGTGAAGATACATGGAAGACGCGAAAAGAACACAAAGAAATGCAATAGTGAGGAAGAGCAGAGGAGTAGCACAACACGGAAGATATGTGCAAATGGTGCTTTGAAGAGAAGGCATATATACAGAGAGATATCAGATTCCTAATAAATATTCTTTTATCAAGTTTTTCGTCTTCCACCATTACAGATGTAGCTCTGTATAAGATCATCTCATCCAAAGGTGCCATACTGTAGGAGACATTTTCCTACCACTCCAATGGCGATTCGCTTAAAACAACCGAAGCTCTGTGTGTGTGTGTGTGTGTGTGTGTGTGTGTGTCAAAGAAATAGTTCGATCCAATGTTATTTCCTTGGCCTGCCGTGAAACCTACAAATTCATCACAAGTTCTGCATTATTTTTCTCAATTTATCTAATATTTCGTTTACTGTTATACTGATGCACATGATCGCCCCTATCTTTGATAAATAATAATATTATTCAAACTGAATAGATAGTCTAAAACGATTTTTTAAAATCTACAGTTAACTGGTATATCCCCCAGCTAACTACTTATTGACATAGTTCAGTAGTATGAGTAGCCACTTAATGCAGAAAACAACAAAATTTTAATGAATAAAAAAATAATATATATATATATGCATACCTGTTTACAGAATCGTAGAAATTCTATTGTATACGTTTGACCATAAAAACAACATGTGCAAAACGCCCATGAACGTCTGTATAAAAAAATACACATAAAAAAGGCGAAAAACCAGAGGTGAACTCATGTAAAGCTAAGGTAAATGTGAAAAGATACAAGACAGAAAAATGAAAAATACTCACTGATATGAGAATAGGACGTGTGTTGCCCTGTGGAGGTAGAGTATACTTCCATTATGGATAAAAATTTATTTTGATAGAGTCTCACAATGTAATATTTAATATTTAACGTTTTGAGCACAATTTGTCACCGCTCACAATCATACGAAGTTACCCGTACACAAATATACATCTTCGTTTTTATGAGTACACTATGAGTGATGAATCATTTCTGTTATATGTGTTGGGTGTAGATTATTCAATGAACAAGGATTCAGTAATCAACCTGTGTCTGCACCTACCTATATTACTTTCTAGAATTTCAACCCTCTTCCACCCTATTTTGTGGTTGTGTGTTAATGCATGCAGTGAAATTGCTACTGTGCTTTTTTCTAAATTACTCATCTGTCTTCCTGGGGTCAATCATTCTAACTTTAGTCACTAAATTCTTATGTTCTGACAATCTGACTACCCCTGACCTACTAATTTGACCTATGTAGCTGACCTTACTCACGGTCATTGAAAGGTATTTTGTAAATTGTATTATTTTGTTTAATTGCGTCAACACACAACCAAACGATAGCGTGGAAGAGGGTTAAAATTCTGAGATGTAATATAGGTAGTTGGAGAGCATGAGAGGTTGATTACTGATTCCTACTTGGCTCATTGAGTCTACACCCAACATGTGCAATAGGAATGACTCATCACTCATGCTAGAGACATGGAAAATACTACTACGAATCAAATCAAGAGATGAGAAATAGTCGAACCATATAAACGAAGTTGGAAAGTTTTATGAGTCGTGCCTTGATATGGTTATGACTGGGAACAAACAAAAAAGAATCAATCGCCAACCAAGAAATATGCAGGAGAAAGTAAAGATGGGGTTGACACTCTCTGAGGAGGACGGCCGCTGGGTGACATCGCACGCGCGTCAGGCCATTGCTCGAGTGGAACCAGCTGAAAGGGAAGCGGCGAGTGAGACGTCAGTGCAAAGGTGACATGGAGGAGATGGTGTGAAGAGGAGTTGAAAGAGTATGGACTAACATGAATGCAGGTGAAAAGTACAGCAGAAAGAAGGCAGAAGCAAGTGGAGACGTGCAGTTGAAACCTCATATTCCACTAGGAACCCAAGGGGACAATAATAATAATGCACTGTGTGAGAGATTATCCAAGCAAAATATTTATCCACAATGAAAATTACTCAACATTCAGTGAGTCAGTGAGTCTATAGTAAATGAAAAAAGTTTTCTCAAATTCCTCACTTCTCCAATTCAACAATTCATGCATACAGAAGGCTATGTGCAATTTTGAAGTGGTTTTAGTGGATTCTAGGGCAATTTGAAGGATCTTCTTCAGGAGAAATGCTCATGTTTTGTTGCATTTTTCAAAAAATTTCCAGCATCTGATTTATATTGATCTTCAAGTATTGGTTTTGTAGGGATTTGCTTTATTGCATGGAGGATTTCATCATGAATTGACATCAGTTACACAACCACTGGAGTACTGGACAGCTGTTTCGTCAACTTAGTTTGGGACTCTTCATCAATACGCACCCACCGGGGTTCAAACCCACGAACTTCTGGATACCAGGCGAGCTCGTAGACATTGTTCTGTCTTCAAATTACCCCAATGTTGTAGACTGAGATTGTATACAATCTACAGGAACGCAGATCTTAAATGTATTCATCTTTCATTGGTTGACTCCAGACAGTTGAAAATTATATCTTATTTCATTCGTGATATAAGAATAAAACGTAGATATTGTGGTGGTAGAGTATGATTCCATTATGGAAAAAAATTTTATTTTGATAAAGTCTCACACACAGTGTAGTGTTATACTGTAATATTTACGGATGACCACGTTTCAAGCACCCAATTTATTACTGCAACTCATAATCATATCAAGGCACGACTCATACAACTGTCTAACTACGCTTTTTATTCATGAGTAGAAACTGATTCGACATTTGAATGAAAATCACCAAAGGTTCAATAGAAATGCGTGAAACAGAAGGGTGGATGAAGTACATTCGGAGAGAATATTAGTGTTTTCAATAAAATATATATTACGATGGGAATTAAGCACTAAGTAGTACAACAGAAAACCTAAATGACGAAATGAAGCAGATGGAAGAAGAAGCGTTGATGCTAAATAACTGATTATCCTATAAAGTTAATTAGAAAAACCATAAAAGGTCAAAAGCAAAATAAAAATAATGGGGAAAATAATAATAAAGATAACATAAATAAGAGAGAATTTAAGGCATCTACAGTAGTTTTATCATATAAGGTGAGGATATCTGAGACCCGCCCTAAGTAAGATTCTCAATAAAGCAGGAATTAGGCTGGTGGCATTCAAATGTACAAATTCACTCAGGTATGATATGCTCTGTAGGTTAAACGACCCTGTAGGTTGACCTAATTAGACAAAATAATATAATTTACAAAATACTCTGTAATGACTGTGACTGAGGTCAACTACATAGGTCAGAGTAGTAGATCGGGCGTAGCCAGAATATCTGAAAATATGGATTTAGCTAAGGTTAAAATGTTTGTCCTCGCCAACATACAACCACAAAATAGGGTAGGAGAGGGTGGAAATTCTAAAAAAGTAATATAGGTAGGTGGAGAAAGAGAAGTTGAATCCTGGTTCACTGAGTCTACACCCAAAACATGCAACAGAAATGACTCATTGCAAATGCCAGAAATACGGAAGATATTATTACCACCAGTCAGTCAAATCGAAGGAGGATAAAAAGTAATCTTAAAATTCTATTCTATAACAACCAGTGCTGTCCGATAGGGATGTCCACTTTCCCCATTTCTGTTAAACTTCATCATAGATATTCTAATGGAAGTATCTTCAACTGAACTTAACGACTTAGGAATCGACTTGTTACCAGGAAATAGTCTTATGGGCCTAGAATATGCAGATGACATAGTCCTGTTAGGGAGGGTGCGGACAAAATGCAGAGTCTTCTGAACACCTTGAGCTGAGCTGCAATCTTCGTATGTTTGGCATGCGATTCGCCCCTGCAAACTGTAAGATGCTGCTACAGGACTGGACTACGTCAACTCCTAGCTTAGTGATAGGGAGTGAAGTGATAGAACATGTTGACCACTTTTGGGAAGTTGAATCAGCGGACCAACAGACTAATTGGCGACGAAATCTCAGCACGGATCCAAAAAAGCTCGGGCTGCTTTCGCTGACTTACACCATCTCTGGCGTAGGCGTGACATCCGGCTATCAACCAAGGGACGTGTGTACTGCTCATCAGTTCGCTCCGTCCTTCTCTATGGCTCTGAAACATGGCCAATACGAGTTGAAGACATGAAAAGGTTGACTGCTTTCGATCATAGATGTCTGCGATCTCTTTCTCACGTTAGGTGGTTTAATAAGGTAAGTAATGTTGACGTTAGGCGTAGAGTGTTGGGCAAAGAGGGAAAATCAATCGACGAGGCTATAAAGTTACATAGATTGAGATGGTTAGGTCACGTGCTGCGTATGCCTAGGCGATGGTTAGCCATCGCCTCCCCGACGGGCATTACTAGCTGATATAGGTTCAGGTTGGAAAAGAATAAGTGGTGGCCAAACAAAAATATGGCATCAATCCATGAAGTCCTTGACAGTTAAGTTGAGTCAGGTAGGGAGATGCAGACTTCCGGGTTGGGGCCCTCGGGACTCTAGGAATCACTGGCTAGAGACAACATATGACATGGCTCAAAATCGTTGTCAATGGCCAGCGCAGATGTATTCAGTCTCTGTAATCTTTCATATTCCTTTCTACCATTACCCATTCTGTTTCGCTCTTATACCTGTCAAACTCTATTGATTCTCTTCTCTCATCTTCTTGTCTACCTTTACGTGCTATTTGGAACGTGGCAACTCGAACTGTTGCACTTCGGTGCCAAGTTCTATGTCGAATCCAGACATAGAAAGAGAAAATTCTATTTCAATTCGCATACATTATAAAATACTAACAAGTTACTGATTTTGACTATAAAAAAACACTAGTCTTATTTCCCATCTGATTGTATTCGATCAATAACACAAATATTATTTACGAATGTACTTTATCTACCTTTCTGTTTCACGCATTTCTATTGAACCTTTGGTGATTTTTATGCAGATGTCTAATCAGTTTCTACTCATGAATAAAAACGTAGTTAGACAGTTGTATGAGTCGTGCCTTGATATGATTATGAGTTGCAGTAATAAATTGGGGTGCTTGAAACGTGGTCATCTGTAAATATTACTGTATAACACTACAATGTGTGTGAGACTTAATAAAAATAAAAATTTTCTCCATAATGAAATTATACTTTCGTGATAGTATATACATACTTTGTGTTATAAACATTGTTCAACGTATTGTTTATCTTGATTTTGTTCAGTCTGAACTTCCTATCGTCGTGTGGAATCATTAATTATTTTCCTCTTCATGGTGATATCGATTTATTTTTTTAATTTTTATGAAATCATTATTATTATTATTGCTCCCTTGGGTTCCTAGTGGAACATAAGGCTTCAACTGCACGTCTCCATTTGCTTCTGTCTTCTGTTGTACTTTTCGCCTGCATCCATGTTAGTCCGTACTGTTTCAACTCCTCTTCACACGATCTCCTCCATGTCACCCTTGCACTGACGTCCCACATGCCGCTTCCCTTTCGGGTTCCACTCGAGGGTTTGACGCGCGATGTCACCCAGCAGTCTCCTCAGCGAGTGTCCGATCCATCTCCACTTTCTCCTGCATATTTGTTGAGCGATTGGTTCTTGCATTGTTTGTTTCCATAATTCCTTGTTAATGATTCTTTCCGGCCATCTGATCTTCAGTATTGAGCGAAGAAAGTTGTTAATAAAGGTCTGCAGCCTTTTGGAAATATTCTTTGTGAAATCATTAATTTTGTAAATTAATTAACCAACATAAAATTGTATCATACTGAGAAATTGTTACTTTTTTTAATCAACCAGTTGCCTTAAACTAAGTTTGTAACTGTAATAAGCATTGAAAATTTAAAACTATGACAAAATCTCCTGGTTTTTACGGGTCCATGATATGAGCGTGATTTCGAAACCCACCTCCCAGACCCGCTTTTATCAGAACACCAAACACACACACACGTATATGTACGCAAATCGGTAGCTATTTACTTCATTGTTATTATCTTATTGCTTTACGCTCCTAGTGGAACATAGGACTTGGAGCTAGGGATTTAAGGTTTCGGTAGCAGTGGTTCTTACGGGGTAAGGTTTTCAGTCTCAAGTGTAACATTCCCTTTTTATCGGATTTACTGTCAACTTAAAGAGGCTTAAGACAGCGTCGGCTGAAGATTGAACTCTGGGAACACATACGTGGTTGGTGAGCATTGTAACACGGAACCACTGACGCACAATAATGTCTTGATAAAGCTATTAGCAGAAATGTCAGTAAAAACAATAATATATCGCTTTGATTTTCATTCATTGGGAAATACAATATGAACTTTTATAATAATGAACTGTAACAAAATCATTTATATTATGAGTTTTGTAGGTATTCAGATTCATTTCAGTGGTAGATTTCGTTACGAATCAACACACTAGCTGGAGAGTTATTATGTAGTCCGAGTTTGTGACTCCTCGCAACAAGGATCGAATCTAGGACCATCAAGTAACTAGAAGAAGCTGGTTGACCACTCATCTACTAGGATCCGAGTTCAATAATGCATGAATTTCAACTCTATCAAACGCTGACATGAAAATAATGTGATAAGTAATGGTTAGCGAAGAAGCTTTTTTCGGTGAATCCACTTTCTTGAACTGTACAACCGCATTTATATTCCATAAAAGATGAGGGCGGTAACAAAGCCGATAAGATTTCAAAATCATAGGAAGACGCAACCAGTCACAAATTCTCATTGTAACTTTAGAACATCAATTCCTTAGTCGCAATACGCTGGAGACTGATATTTAGATCATGAAGGGGGGGGGGTATCATATTAATTTCAATTTCAATCTCATCATGAACCACCAGTAGTTACAGAACACCTGAAATAAACTCAAGTCTCTTTAAAACTCTATTATCTGCATAGGATAATTGTTGTAAAGCTTAGGAGAATCCATAGCCAAGACAAAATAGCTATTCAGTGCCCCCTGGTTTTCATTGGTTCTCTAAATATGACACTATTATTATAATTATATTATTATTTGCTTGGGTTCCGAGTTGAACACAGGGCCTGAACAACTCATCTCCACTCTTTTCTTTTCTATTCTCCACTATCCTCTTCAGCTAACTGGGCTCAGGACTACTCAGAATCTCTCATCTCCTCCCCCCCCCAAAACACGATCTCCTCCATATCACCTTCGCACTGACCACTCACTTGTAAGTTCGTATTGACATTCCGCTCGAGCAATGGCCTGTACTGAACACGATGTCACTCGACCAGTGGCCTCCAAAATGGCTTGCACGCCTGATCAGTCCATCTCCATTTTCTCCTACGTATTTGTTGAGCAAGCGGCTCTTTGTTGGTTTCTTCATCGCCAGAGTTTCTTGTCACCAATTCCTTCTGGCCATTTTATCTTCAGCATGGAGCCCGTAAAGGGGGTAGGGGTTGATAAAAGTCTGCAGTGGTCTGTTCGAAATCCCCTTCGTGATGCACCAAGTTTCACGAATTGGTAGAAGTTGAAATTAGTGTGTCACTGAACTCAGCCCAACTGGCTAAATGGTCAATGAGCTTGGCGTAGTAGCCTGAAGGTGTAGAGATCAATCCTTGGTGGGGCCGACCATACACATGGTCCGGGGTTCGAGCCCACGCCGGCGCACACCTGATATCTATGGTCGGCCTGCAAAATTTGGGCTACCGATAACCATGCTGAAAATTCCATACTTGAACCAAAAATACAGTGTGGAATCAAGCTGTAAATCCAAAAAAAAAATCTCACACCAGAACAAAACAGCTATCCAGCGCTTCTTGCTATTTAATGACTTTCTAAATGATATTAGTTTGTGACGAAATCTAGGCAAAAAATATATCCTTCACATTTTTAGGTTGGTAATGATTTACAGTGGATACTAGGACTTATGATTCATCCTAGCTGGCTTACATCATCTGGACTTACTTGCATTCCTGGAGAATAATAATGCTGTTTGCCTTAGGACTCGAATACAGCATCTGTCACTTCAAACGCCTAAGCGTTGTTATTTTTTTGGTTGAAATTATCGTCTTTTTGAATTTCATGTTAGCGTGTCGTCTGATATACTATTACGTCAATAGGCATGGAGTATTTTGGTGAATTAATGAGAACTGCCCATTCAAACGGTAATAGAGAGAAGACCAGTAATTCAGCGAAGAGTCACTTTTCCACGAATTCATTTCCACTGCTATACAATCACAATTATTATATATGGTCATTCTCTATAGGTGTGTGTGTGTGTACATTAAATTTGTCAAACCAAAATACAGTTGGTAAGTTTTTGGTGTAGTTACGTAATTCAAAAGGCGTTCAGAGGAATTGGTTGTTAATATAAGAGGGTAGTAAAAAAAAGCGTTGAGTTTTCATTAGAAGAAGAACTACGCTTCCTTAAAGAAATCTTCATAAAAAACGGATATTCACCAAGATTCATAGACAAAACATTAAACAGAAAATCCAAAAGTAAGAGACGCCATTCGTGTCAAAAAATATACTTTATATGAACCTCTACTTCAGAGGTGAAATACTTAGTGATGGCCTTAAGAGGAGAATTTCCACTTCTTTAAGAAGAATTTCCTTCGCGGCAACATTGAAAGTAGTGTTCTCCAGTCACCCATTGATCTACAGAGGCTCTAAGGACAAGATCTCGCATTTGATCATTTCTGTTTGCATAAAGCAGTTCACCTGTTGCTGTGGAACCAGCCAGGTACATCGGTCATTCGATTCGTATCCTAACCAAAAAGGCTCGAAAATACTATCCTGCATGGCTACAAAAAGGTGATAGTGACTGTATAAGGAGTGCAATAATCGAACATTCCCTCAGAACTGATCATTCCATCTCAACAAACCCCTCCTGCTACAAATTAATCTACAAAGTGGAGAACAACCTGCCAAAGACAATACCTTTCCATCTTCTTTGCATTGCAGAAGCCCTAGCCATTCAGGTAGAAGAACTAGAACCATGCATACAAAAAAAAAATTATTCAACCACCTCTACTATCATGGTAACAACTGTGTTAATTTGACTTAATTTTTTGCTTGTTTGCTTATTTTTTATAACTGCTTGAAACTCTTGTACTCCTTTAAAACTCTTACGTAATTTCGTATGCTATTTTGTTTCCATGTACACCCTGAGCACAACTCTTTCATTAAACTATTCATGTTATTACATAACTCTTCGTTTGTGGCAACTCATCACTTTTGTTACTACCCTCTTTTATGAACAACTAATTCCTCTAAAATGCTTTTCGTATTACGTAACTCCACCAAAAACTTACTAATTGTATTTTCGTTTGACAAATTTAATGTACACACCCACCTATACAAAATAACCATAAATAATAATAGTGATTGCATAGATGAGAAAATAAAATCGCCTTCGGCAGGAGACTCTCCACTGAACTAGTGATATTTCGATTAAGTTTATTTATCAACCGACAAAAAATTCTCCATGACTTCAACACATAATAGATCTTTTAGATGAAATGACGATCACATCATTCAATTTAAGTGGTCAATAAAAATGTTTAGTAGTAGTAGTAGTATTGTCTTTAATAGATTTTCACTTACGGTAATTCACGACCTCTAATCTCTGACAGGATACAACTTTCTCCACCGAGATATTCATAACATAAACTTAAGAAACTGTAAACCACAAAAGCTAAAATGAAACCGAAAAAAAACAAAGGCAGAATTTAGATTTTCGGTGATATATCAAGAAAAATCGATAAAATAACCATTTAGTTCTCTATTTTTCAAAGTTCTGCTATATTTAATCGATTGACTAAATGAATGACTTTCTCAACGAAGAGTGAATGTAAGTGCACCAGTAAGATGGGTTTTGAGCCGTACCACCGAAAGTCTGCAGGTGTTGGTTCTTAGAATTTCAACGACACCTTTGTACATGGCTAGCTCAAACTAATAGTTATAGACTTCATAGATGAATGCCATGCCCAACGCTAACTCCTTCACAACCTACTACTATGCAAGTTAACATTGTTCGATGAGGAAGGTGATGACTTGGCATGTGTAGCATTTGTCCAAGCCGTCTCAGTCTATGTAGCTTCACAACCTCATCAACTAACTTGATATACTTAGCTAGGGCTCCACACCTAACCTCAATATTACTCCATTTAGGAAAACAGTGGCGTCTGAGCTAGGGTTTGTCTGACCTACTTCAATTTTCTTTAAATGATGACATGACTTTGAAATGTCCACTGTAGAAATCCAGTGTTTAGAAGGTAAAAAATAATAAACCTAATCAGTCAACTCTAGTGATTTTAACCCACATACGATTATTAGCATTATACACGGATGGAACACTAACAGAAAATCTTAAATATAAAAAAACATTTAATTGAATTTTAGATTTTCCGATCGATTGATTGCACCGTAGTGCTCTGTCTCAGGTTGACATGTCGGCTTCTCCTTGTGCAGATGCTTCGATAATGTCCGGGCATGTAATTAGAATTTAATTGGTGAGTAGATGGTGACCAGCAGTAGAATCCAGGATAAAGCGCATATCGTCCTATTTGAGACTCGTCAGCCGGATGTACCTGCATTTCCCAGTCAGTCCGTGATGATGTTCCCACAGAGGCTCGAACCCAATTCCCATAGTTTCAAACGCCAAAGCGTTATCCACTAGACCACTTGGGCGACGAGAGCCCCTGCCTCTTGTACAACGGGTCATGTTAATTTAATTCAATTAAATTCTAATAAATGCCAGGACATCGTCGAAGAATCTGCACAAGAAGCCGACATGTCAACCTGAGACCGAACAATTCCATCCAACCAAATAATTAATATGACCCGTTACACAAGAGTTGGCTCTCGTGGCCCAACTGGTCTAGTGGACAACGCTCTGGCGTTTGAAACTATGGGCAGTCGGGTTTTGAGACTCGGTGGTAAGAACATCATCACTCACTGACTTGGGAATGCAGGTACATCCAGTTGACGAGTCCTAAATAGGACGAAATGCACTTTATCCTGCATTCCACGGTTAGTCACCATTCACCAATAAAATAAGAAAAAAAGAGCTAAGCGAAGAGTGCTTTTTTGGTGGCTAATTCATTCACTCAGCTGTACCGTCGCAATCATACATAGTTATTTATATATATATATATGTACATTAGGTTCATCACAAAAGAATAAAAACTAGTTAAAGTTATTGTTGTCAAGATGTTTCAAAAATGTAGTGAGTAATCAAATAATAACTATGCCTGGGGTGGGGTGGGGTGGTGGTGAAGATTGTTTAGAGGGTAGTGGTGATGTGTTCATAAAAAAACAATTATTTTAACTCATAAAAGAAACTGAATAAGCGTAATACAGTTGCGCAATAAGTTGAATAGTTTAATGAATGAGTTGTGATTAGGATACGTATAGAAAAGAAAGAAAATAGAGAATTATGTAAGGGTTCTGGAAAAAAATTAACTCCTTATAAGATTTTTAACTTTTAGAACCGTTACATAATTCTATATTTTATTTTTGTTTCTATGTATATCCTAATCAGGAATTAGAGTGGCATTCAAACCTACAAACTCACTCAGGTAGAACAAGCTCTTTAAATCAAAGGACACTGTGAGTTGACCCAATTGGACAAAATAATACAATTTACAAAATACCCTACAATGACTGTGAGTGAGGTCAACTACATAGGTCAAACTAGTAGGTCAGGGGTAGTCACATTGTCGGAACATAAAAATTTAGTGACTAAGGTTAGAATGATTGACCTCACGAAGAAAGATGAGTAATTTAGAAAAAAGCTCAGCACTCACTACATTGCACTGCATGCATTAACACACAACCACACAATAGAGTGGGTGGGAGACGGTTAAAATTTCAACAAGTAATCTAGGTAGGTGGAGAGTGAGAGAAATTGATTACTGATTCCTTCTTGGTTCATCGAGTGAATCTACACCCGATACATGCAATAGGAATGATTCATCACTCATACCTGAAATATGGAAAATGCTATTACCAATCAAATCAAGCGAAAATCAAGTGAAAAACAATGGAACTATATGTATATGATTGTGAGCAATAAATAGTGCTCGAAACGTGGTCATCAGTAAACATTACTGTATAACACTGTGAGACTTTATCAAAAGAAAATTTTATGCATAATGGAATTACACTCTACCAGAGTGCACAAGTTTTATTCTTATATCAATGATATCCTAATCACAACTCACTCATTAAACTATTCATCCTGTTACGTAACTGTATTACGCCTATTCAACTTCTATTACGAGTTAAAATAATCGTTTTTTCATAAGAACACATCACCATTACCCTCTTGACAATCTTCACCCCATCTCAGCCCTCGTTACAATGCGATCATTCGTCACATTTTTGAAATGTCTTCACAACAATAACCCTAACTAATTATTATTGTTACCGGATAAACCTAATGCACAAACACACATACAAAAAGATACTCTTCTCTGAACTACGTGTTTTGTCTTCATTAATGTCATGACGTTATCCTCTTCCTGTATGTTTCTCGGTAAATGGTTTTCCTGTCGTAAATCATTTACATAGAACTTCTCGAATCTTCTTGCAAACTTAAGATAAATCATTATTGTCTTTTTTGTATCATTTTTAAGTATTGGTTTGTTGTAGGGATTTTGTTTGATTGCATGGAGGATTCAATCATGAGCTGACATCAGTTAGAGAACCACCGGTGGGTGCGTACTGCTGAGGAGTCCCAAACTAGGACGAAACAGCTGTCCAGTACTCCCAGGTTTTCCAGTGGTTCTCTAACTGATGTCAGCTCATGATTAAATCCTCCATGCAATTTTTTGTGTCAGTTGGAAATATTCATATTACACTCTTCACAGTTTCAAATGTTGGTTTTCAAGGGTTTGATTGATTTCAAAATTGATCACGAATCGACATCAGTTAGAGAATCATTGAACACTGGGGAGTGACAACTAGATAGCTGTTTCGTCTTTGTCTCAGACTCATCATCATCATTACTATCATCAATAGACACTGTTGATCGATTCGAAAACCGTCAGGTTACAAAGTGAGCTCACTGACCACCACTGAAGCATTTAGGTGAAATTCACTGGCTCATGAATTCTAACTTCTAACAACCCTCGATATACACCACGACTGCTAGTGAATGTTATCGCTGGGTAATTGTCCTCATATCCAACTTGATTGATCCCTCTGGTCAGTCAACTTCACCCTGTAATCAGTCATCAGTCAGCACTAGATTAATTTTCAAGCGTTATTTTTCAGAGATTCGAATTGGAAAACGAGGAGGGGGGAGTATTGGACAGCTGTTTCCTCTTAGTATTCACTCATGACTACACCAACAGCTATCGAATCTAGTACCTCCAGATTATATGGTTGGCTTGAATACTAATGAAACTGTGCTGTCCAATACTCCCCAGTTTTCAGCAATTCTCTAACTGAAGTCCCTTCGTGATTAGCCTTTATTGTTTCGTTGAACTAAGATCTTCATGCTTCATAGAAAAAAAATGGGAATATTTATCCTTACTTCATTAATCTAATGTGTATTTTACGCTATCTGAAGCTGACGAGGAGTTTCAAAATAATATGCACCTGTTTTTCATACAGTGTAGGCTTTATTCTTCTTGGTTTAATCGATAAAAACAACCTAGGTTATGTCACAGTTTATATCCCTCCCCCCTGTTGTAGTAACATTTCAGTTAATAAACCCAAGACAGTTTCTTCATACATGTTTACATAGGTTGAATGACAAAGAAGCAGAAACAACAGGCCTTTTTCCATTCCAACATAAGTCGAATTATTTATTGATTAACGAGTAATTAATCCCCTTCAGTTGTTTAGAAAACAGAAAGATTGAGCGAAGAAATATTTATATATGTGTAAGACTTGACCACTGTGGTAGTAAGTAATTCCATCGACTCAGTGAAGGATGTCAACGTGTATGAAAGACAAATGATCTCACTAGATGTCGCCTCTCTATTCACAAGTATCCCCCTGACTGAGACAATATGCAACATTTGTAATTACATAGAAACCAACAACATAGAAGTTCCTCTCCCCATAAACTACCTGAAGGAACTTCTTCTCAGATGCACGTTCAATGTCCAGTTCAAATTCAATGAACAGTTCTATGTACAGAAAGATGGAGTAGCCATGGGGTCTCCTCTCGGTCCACTCCTAGCTGACTGTTTCATGGCGAGTCTTGAAAACAACACCCTTGATCCCTTAATAAGTCAACTGCACTTATACAAGAGATATGTAGATGATACATTTATAATCTGCGATGAAAAATGTGATATAGATTCTCTCCTGAAAACCTTCAACGCAGCGCATCCATCAATAAGATTCACCTTAGAACGCGAATCGAACAACGCATTTCCATTCCTCGATGTATTACTCACCAGAAGAGACGACTGTACGATCCAAAGATCGATATACCGGAAACCAACATGGACTGGACAGTTTATCAACTTCCAGAGCTTTGTCCCACTGACCCGAAAGAGAAACTTGGTACGTACATTGTGCTCAAGGATTAGAAAAATCTGCTCGGAAGACACGGTGGAGAAAGAATTAAATTTATTGCGTGAAACCCTACTAGAGAATGGGTATCCGCCAAGATTCATCGACAAAAACATGAAGGAGAAGCCCCCGGTGCCAAATATCACAACGGTTCCTAAGAAG